TAAAATTCTCATTTCCGAAAATGTCCATTCATTCTATCCAAATCAATTTTCAAAGGTTGTACACTCTGAACTGTATAGATCTTATTATTTCCTTAAATTATTAAAATATCAGAAAAATCAATTATTTTAAATAATCAAGAATCTGTCTAGTATTCATAAAAAATTGGTACAACCAGGCATATTATACTGTAGAAATCGATGATAGGATGAGTGGGTTCAAATAAATATCCGCTCTAGAATATATTTATTTCAATTATTTTTGAAAATTATTTATTAAAAAGTTCCTTTATTTATTCTACATGCTTGAGCCCATCTTTATACTGCGTTCTATTCAGTTCAAACTATTTATTGTCTCTCCACAATCCAATCAAGAGATGATGTTTTGTTGACTGTGAAGAAACCTTAGTCTACAGTCAAATATAAAAATATCGAATTCTTTGTTTCTTTGCAGAATGCATTCCAAGATTTTTATTGGTTTAAATAATAACTATTTGATATTGATTATTATAGCATTTCAATTGGTTATATTTATGCTAATTCATAACATCGGTGAAGAGTTATTAATACTCCATAACCATTTTACGATTGTTATTTATAAATTAAATTCTACTGGCTTTTGGCAATTTTTACCCATGGCTTTCATTTCATCATCTGATTGTGATTCTAGCGAATTCGAATGCTTTAAAGATAATGTCAATGATCGATGTAGGCACAACTCCATAGGGATTGGCTGTAAAGATTATAAAAGTCTGAATCGAAAGAAAACTACAGCATCAAGACGGGGAGAATCATTAAATCAATTGCATTCAATAAACAGATATTTGATTAACTCTTCACAATTCAAAAGAATTTCAAAATGCATTGAAAATGGAGAGTTTCCACTTGTAATATATGGGCCAAGTGGAGCCGGAAAGACGTTTGCAATTACTTCTATATTGGACCGGTTAAAATTAAAATATAACTTTGTTGATATTTCGAAATCTACCCTCAACAAACCCCTAAAGCCAATAATCAATATTATTGAGATTAGAAATATTCTGGAAATTAGAAAAATTAATCATTTTAGTAATTTAATTATAGAAACAAATTTAGAATATTTAGATAAGCTCGACAATAAGAACAGTCTTAGGGGGGTTGGAAAGAGTTTAGACTCAGAACTAGCTTTGACACCAAATTATTTTTGTAAATCCAATAGAAAGCATGATGACAGGTATAGGTTAAATACCAATTTGACAAAAGAAAGAAATTCGATTAGCTCAATAGACAATGTAAGCTCAGAATTTTCTATTAATTTTTTGAGTTCAACTGAATCCAAGGATGCTGATGATATTTTAATCCATTCTTCCAATGACACCACTTCATCACAAATGAACTTTATAGGTCTTCCAATTGGCACCATATTCATCAAATTTTCCAGAACAACAGAATTTCAAATTAAAAAACTGGGGATTGATGGGTTTAATGGGAATTTGTTTGCAATTAACCATCCTATACAACAAAATGCCATCCATGTAGATATTTTTAGATTTATCGGTAGAATATTTTACAAAAAAATTAAGATCAAACAACTATTTGTAAAGAACAGAAAAATTTTGACTATTGATGAAATCAAAACGCCTGCAGTGCTATCAAGTGGAATAGATAATGGCACAGTACATAAGAAAACAGAGTTTCTAGCAAATAAAAGCAACTGTTTTAATAAAAATATTGGTCAGTTACCGATTGAAAGTAATTCTGACTCATGTGATGAAGATACCAATACTTCTGATTCCTGCACATTTGATGATGATGATTTTAACCTCAGTTCAACAGAAAATAAACAAACGGAAATACCAGAAATGATTAAAACTCCTCAGTTCATCAATGATTTCTTGGAGCTCGAGACCTCAGATGAAATACTTGTCCCATTGTGTGAATTTGATAAAAGTATGATTATTGAGTATTTATACACGAATATGTTAGAATTCATAAACATATACAATATTACCCAGTTTTATGATAGTCTTAGCAACACTGAATTTACAGAAGACGGGGTACTAATATTTATAAAAGCGTTGCTTGATAAAAGCAGAAAGCCTGGACGATTTGTTTCATTTAAAAGAGGTGGATGATGGTTTTTTATGGACTTTGTAAAATATACAATTAAGTCGGGAATTTACAGAAATACCAAACAACACATCTCTGACTTCAGATAATAAATACTCTGTTTCTATTAATTTAGTGAGATGGTATTACTTTTCAGTAGTTAGTCGAGAGTTATTGCTTTTTTTCTTCAGTCATTTCCCACTGGAAATATTCACATTTTTTAGGAAAATATTTGCAACAATAAAAATACTTATTTATGTTTGGACCTTTCTTGGTTTGTAATCTTTTTGCGGGTTTGTTACATATGCACTTTGGAGAGGTTATTTTGTTTGATTTAATTGTTGAAGTCTTTATAACAGACTTATACGAGTTCATAGAAAATTGAGGATGATGTTTTTTGGTATTATTAGAATTTGTGTTTGTAAATATTTGTCCACTGGTGTTATTTGATCTATTTTCAATATTATTGTGAGAAATGTCTTTTGAGGTAGTTTTTATTCTTTTAGTATTTGTTTCATTATCATGATTCAAATCATCTCCTCCGCTACTATCATCATGCTGGGACTTCCTAGTGTGGCTATTTCCACTAGCATTGTGATCATTTATATAAACATTGGTGGGATTTTGTTTCAATATCTCCACAAATTGTGCTATATTCGTCTCCATTTTTTTATAAATCCTCTGGAATACTTCTATTTCTCGTTTGACTAAGTCATTTCTTTTCATTTTGCCTTCACAAATCTTCACTAAATCAATTTCCAAATCTTTCCTGAGATTTGGCTCACTAATAGGCAGCCTTAAATTATTATATCCTTCAATCAAATTAATTCCAAGTGGAAATGGAATTAGTCTGTTGTTCTCCTTCTTTACATAATTTCTGAGTTGAATTTTTTGAATATGCTCGTGTATTGTCGCATCGGTGCCTATTCCATTTTTATCCATTAACGTAATCAAATCACTTTCAGAAAGATAATCAGGCTTTGATGTGTTTCCGGAAATAGGAGAAGCACAGCCAATATGGCCATTAGGGATGGAATTTCTACTAAGACTCTTGATATTCTGTATTGTTTCGCCAATTTCATAACTAGAAATGGATTTTGAATCCCATTTATCGTAGATGTAGATATCCAAATAATTTCGATGTGTAATAATAAGGCCTTTTGCCGTGAACATTTCCCCATTGACACGATTATTTCCATCAATATCTGTGGAATGTGATGTCTGAAGGGTAATCTCAGTTTCTACTCCCTTTGCATTGTCACTTATGCATCCTAAGAACCGCCTAGCTATAAAATCAAATATCTTTCTCTCATCTCCTTCTAATCCATTCCCATCTCTCAGTGGATATATTGGTGAATGTGCCTGATCATTGTTTAATCCATTTCTAGGATAACAAAAGATCAGCTTCTCTGCATACTCTGCAAACTTTGTATCATTTTGTAACTTATTAATTATAGAAGTATATCCAAAACTATTCCCAAACGAATCTGTTTCTGTTCTAGGATATGAAATATATCCCAAGTTGTATAATTTTTCTGCAATATCCATAATTTTTTTCCCTGACATTTTATAATATCCGGAAACTATCTTTTGAAATTCAACAGTTCTTAGTGGTAATGGCTTATATTTTGTTCTGTTGGTCACACTCTTATTTGTCACAACTATGTCTTCATATCTTATTAGATTATAGAAGTGCAAAACACAATTCTTATCGAATACATCTCCCCTTGACCATTTAAAAATGTCTAGAGAAGTACTACCAGATTTGTTGTTTTTACATTCCTTAGTAGTGGTTATACTTTTGACAGTTATATTGATTGAATAAAATCTCTCAGATTGAAACTTAATTATCTCGTTGTGTCTTTGCACCACAAAGTTTAATGTTGGAATTTGGCACGGTCCAAAAGATATTATATTTTTATCTGCACTCATAGCCTCCACATCCTTAATATTCGAATATGAAAGTGTTTGCAGCCTTGTAAATGCACTGCCTAGTCTCAAATCTAGTTCAATTCTTGCATCAACCGCATCCGACTCGTTGTAATTAATATCAATCAAGTTGTCCAGTGCACCTACGATTTCAGTCCTTGAAATACCAGAAAAACGAGCTCTTTTTATAACAAATTGATTGGAACTCTGGTACTTGTTTCCTGTTGCTTCATTTCTGCTATATTTCATAAGTAAGACTTTTTTGATCTGATTGGCTATGTGCTCACCTTCTCGATCACAATCTGTCCAAATTATTACCATTGAACAGTTTTGAGATTGAGAAATAATATTGTCTTTTATCGATAGAAACTCTTCCTTAATTTTACTCTCAATTGGACAGGTAAATAGCTCGAATGGGTCTACTTCATTCCATTTGGTCTTTCGAGCAAACTCGTAGTTGAATAAATGGCCCAAGACACTCGTAAAAACCATTGAATCTCCATCATATTCAAATGTATAGTTGGGACAGAACTTATTCTTTCCTCGGAAGCTATGTATTTTATTGGAGAGTACTTTGCTGATTGATTTTGCTACTGATGGTTTCTCCGCTACATTGAGAATTTTCATGCATAAAAAGAAATATTAAAAAATAAAATAAACTTGAAAGTAGTAACAAAGTCTCAGCATAGTTTAAGTAAAACCTCTGTCGATATTATAAGTATATTTGATATTTCAACCAAAGTTATCGGAGTAATTTAAGTAAATATTAATCGGAAAGTATATTGCATAGAAAATCTTCCAATAATATTTTATTATATTTTGGTCCGACTCTAAGATATGGAAATCTTTATGGAATAACTTTAGATGGATCTCTAAGGACCTCTAATTACTATATTTTCATTTCCACAAATTTTAGTCTAAAATCGTGACTCCTCATCGATATTAGTTTGTGGTATACTGTTTTTTTCCTTCGTATTTTTGGACCCATGTACAATGTTATTTTACCTACTTACAATGAGGCTGATAATATTACCATATTGGTAAGAATGCTTAGTAATGTATTCCATAGGTTGGATTGTAAATATATTCTCATAGTTGTTGATGACAACAGTGCTGATGGGACCGCAGAGGAAGTAGAAAAACTGCAGATACAAATGGGTGAGGATCAACTAAAGCTTATAAGAAGACCAAGAAAGATGGGATTGGGTTCGGCATATTTCGAGGGAGTGGAGTACTGTAAATATGATTATACAATTATTATGGATTGTGATCTACAGCACAACCCATTTGACATTTTGGAAATGAGTAAATATAAGGAATATGACATTGTTACAGGAACTAGATATACTCTGTATGAACTTAAGGAAAATAATGGATCTGTTGATATGGGTTGTAGAAGGAAGGCATACATGAATAGTAATCCAGACAAGAAATCATATGAAAACAAGGAGGAGGTTGGACATCAAGCCACCCAGATTATAAATCGCAGTGTAGGTAATAGATCAGATGTTTTTACCAAAGAAAATAGTCCAAATATTAAGAATGTAGGAAACAATTTGGTTATCAAATATGGATGTGTGTGTGGTTGGTCATTTAAAAGAAAACTAGTATCTTCCGTTGCAAATACTCTTGCTAAGTTTGTGTTGGATTTAAAATCAACAGACCTGACTGGTTCTTATAGAATTTATAAAACTGGGATGTTGAAGAAGCTGTTGAAAAGCGTTCGTAATCAAGGCTTTGGCTTCCAAATGGAGATTATTGTAAGAGCTGAAGAATATGGAGCCACGATAAAGGAAGTTCCCATTACATTCTATGACAGATCAAGTGGGGAATCTAAGATGCAAATAATAGAAATTTTGAAGTATTTGAAATCGATTGTTTGGCTGTATTTTGTGGGTTAATAAATTAATTAAGTGAAAGCCCTTTTGAACAGAGGTCTTCATATAACTACTATTTCAGCCTTTATACATTGATTGTTGATGTTTGGGCACAAGGAAAGGATCACTCCACAAAAGTAATCTTACTGTCAACTTCATTCCCAAACTCGAATCTTTTTATTCCATTTATTCATTCTTGATTTTGTCCCCAAAATGGAAGCCAAATTTTTGAACAATTTAGAATTCATTTCTCTCCTGAAGGAAGATAGAAGCTCCACCGAGCTGATATCTGTTTTGGCAAACATTAAATCTTTCATAACTCTCGAAAACTCATCTGTTGTGATAAGTTACCTAACAAAACTCTTTTCTACTGAAATTGAAATGGAAACACATTTGAGGCCTTCATTCGAATGGCATCTTGAGAAAATCACCGAGTTATTGAAGTATAACGTTCCTAATCTGTTCCATTCCTACATTTCATTCGATTTCAAATACTTGGAGGAGGAAAAGGAAGAAAAACAGTCTATCCTGGAATTATTTCAACATATGATATTTGAAGTTCTAATCAAAAAATCAAAGAGTGAGATAGAAAACGGTGTTGATAGAATATTCCGAAACGCTGGATTTGAAATAAAAGTTCCATTGAGCACTTTCCTGGTGAAGTATTTTGAAAGAATGGAGAATTTGAAAATACTAGAAGAGGTGGCATTTCTACTTGAAGAATCTGATATAAGAGAAGTCCTAGACTACTTTTTACAAACCTGGCACTCTCCTGAAAGTTCGAATTCTTTTGTGCTATCAAATATGGACTTGTTTTTCTATTTTCTGAAGGCAACCAATCAAAGGGTATACAAAAGAATGTTCGAGCTAATCCACACTCAGAAGCCCTATTTCAAGGAGATATTTATATCCAATCTTCCAGAAATAGATATCAATCCCATTTTGGAAAATACAAGAGATTACAACTTTGAAGTTGTTAGCACACTTTTTGAAAAAAGGCCTTATTTAGCTCTTTCTGTGATTGAGGGAGTCAAATCTGGGAAGGTACTAATTCCAAGAAGCTCATTCATTAAAAAAATTTCAGAGATTGATAAATTTTTTAGTCCATATGTGGGAGAATTGGACTTAAGTCCAACGGAAATGAATGAAATATGCTCCGAAAGTATTCTATTTTGCAATGAATACTATAAAAAAATTGATAACGTAGATGAAATGATGGAGTTTGCAAAAACCATGTCAAACAAAGATGATTTGGTTATTATTGAATTTATTCACAATGTCCAAACGAATTCTGAATCAGCCTTTATAATGTTTGTTGAGTGTTTGGCAAAGAATATGAGGTTCTCCGGGGACCTAAAGAGTTATTTAATCGATAATTTTGCAAGAAAAGAACTGTATTTTCATCAGTTTATTTCATATTTCTCTATTCAGGAAATGGAGGAATTAATGGTGAGGTATTATAAACCGAGGATTAGCTTGGAGAGTCTTTTTAAAAAATTTTATCCACAAGAGCTGTTAATTGAAATTCATAAATTTCAATCCCGAAACCTCACAAACGATCTTTTTAAGGAGGCAATAGCTTCGGACAAATTTTCTGACGATGACTTTGCATTTTTGATGAAATCTTTGGAGGGTATGAAGTCAGAATGTAAAATAGTTACATGCTTTCAACTACTTAAGAATAAGCCAGAATTAAGAAAACAGGAGATTGTTTTTCTTCAAAGATCATTTGAGGATTTTATCCTTAAGGATGAAGTGCTCTTGGATGCTTTTGAATCATGTGTAGAGATAGTTGGGGTAGCCTTTATAGGTATAATGGAGAAATGGAATCGTGAGCGAATTTCTATGATTTTTAAATATTCTCATCGTATTAAAAAGGTAGTTCGAGAGTATATGTATGAAGATATAAGTAAAGATCTCAGGTGGATTAGAAGTTACTTAAGATACAAGTAGACTCTTAGTTGTTTATCATTTGGATGACTTGCCCAGTTTGATATTTACACTTTAATTAGTTATGAGGTTTTATCGAATCCCAAAAGGCCATGTTCAGAATGTAATTAGGAATAAATATATACTCAATAACAAGAGCAGATATTTTTAGTTGTAATATATATTTTTTTGTAATTTGTTCTAAAATATATCTGGGATATTGAGTCGTGCTGGTAGAAATTTTCTTTTATTTATAATATGCAAATACAATATGTCTTCTGCCCAATTTATTTACCCCTGGAATGGCGTTTTGTGACAGCGAAAGTGCTGTGAATAAAAAAACCTTCAAAAAGGTTGCAGTAATCGGATGTGGAAACTGGGGTACTGCAATTGCTAGGCATATAGCAATAAATGTACAAAGCTGTAGTTCAAAGGCCGAGGATATTTTGATTGATTCTATAATCTACATGTATGTTCATGAAGAATCTGTTAACTACAATGATACACCTATGAACTTATCAGAGATAATTGATACTTTTCATGAAAATCCAAAATATCTGCCAGGGGTTATCCTGCCTGAAAATATTAAAACAGTAACATCCTTGTCTAAATTGGAGGATGCTGATATTTTTGTATTTTGTTTGCCATGTGAGTTTTTAAATACATTAAGCAGTTTAAAGATCAAAAGAGGAGCTATAGGAGTCAATTTGAGCAAAGGAATTCTCATAGATAAACTATCTGCAAAGAATGGGAGGTTGGATTTTTCGTCTGAACACAAATTTCAGTTAATTACACCAACTCAAAATATCACAAATCTACTTGGTATCGAATGTTCATCATTAATGGGTGCAAATATAGCATCTGAAGTTTCATCAGATATTATTTCAGACACAACACTTGGATATCAAAACTATGATAGCGTAAAGTACTTTGATCAAATGTTTAAAAATGAAAAGTTTTTCATTGAGTATGTTCCTTATGAAAAATCAATTGAGATATTTGGAGCAATGAAGAATATCATCTCAATAGGATATGGAATACTGTCTGGTTGTGCAAAAGAAACAAACAAACTAAGTATAGGAAACAATACTATTTCGATTTTCTTTAGAAAGGGTATTCTAGAAATTATCCGATTTATGGAGATCTTTGATACTGAAAATAGCCGCCACAGGCTGAAAGATTCAATTGTGTTCAAAAGCTGTGGAATTGGTGATTTGCTGACCAGCTGTGTCTGTGGAAGAAATCGCAAGGGGGGGGAGATTATTGGAGAGTATCTAATCCAAAGAAACCTTGGAGATAATGAGGATTTTGCCCAGTTTTCAGAGCTCAAAGATTCGGAGTTACTTAGAAAATGTGTTGAACAGAGGTTTGGGGGTCAAAAGCTGCAAGGATTTTGTACAGTTAAGACATTCTATGATTTTTTTGGCAGAAAAGCAGATAATTTCCCATTAATCACATCAATTTATAAAATTTGCTATGAGGAGGGAGATTTGTGTGATCTTTTAGAAGCGATGTCAAAATAAATTTGATAAATAATTAACCTATCTGAAGTATATATTATTTTTCAATTATCAAACTACTCCCATTGTTTACATATGGGATAAGAACAACATTAATGTTTCTATAACTTTTGAAAAGTTATATCTGAGGTTTAGAAATGATATTGATTAACAGCAAATTTGATACACATCAGAGGGATTTACAAATACAAACAATTTATTCTATGAAATAGTACTAAAACAGATACTTTTTTGAGATGGTCAGTTTGTGTTCATTAAATATAAATCACAGGCATAGTCTACTCCTTTGTGTTTATCCTTTTGGAGCTTATTTGATTGGTTGTTGATAAAATAAAAGTAAAGGAATAAAAGGAGATATGGTAGAATTTATTCGAAATGATGGTGTAGCAAATAAGGATCAAGAGAGAGAGGTGGTCAATGCAACTTCAAACACAAGTTTAAAGAGTATCGATCCATCGACTTTAAAATTTGTGGATTTCAATGACAAAAAGATTAAGGAAGATAGCAAGCCTTATATAGTCCACTTAAATGAAAAAGTTGTGAAAGAAGCAAAGGAACAGCAAAAGAAACAAACATACAAAAGTGTAGCTGGCGCTACAGTTAAGGGCTTACTGGTCATCGCTATTTTATTTTCAATTGTGATTCTTCTAAGTAAATATGTATGAGATCAAATTATTAAATTTAAAGGAGGTACTTTATGGATGTTGAAAATTTAAGAATTTGTTTTAATCACTTTATTAAATATTGTTTTCAACAATTTTGAAGTATAACTGGAATTAAAATCTCGCAAATAATTTGCAATCCCTTACTCAAACTTATCTAATGATGCTTGAGAACGAGATTAGTTTTTATGAAAAGATATTTTCCCTAAACCTTCTTTTAATGAATGAATTTGAAGAGAAACTGTACAAGAAATTTGGGACTCGAAATCTTACGAACCAGGAGATGAAGCAGATTCTATTTGAGGCGGTGGACCGCAACTTAATTTGTGATTCTAAAGTCAACATTTTACCTCTATCAACTGCAACAGAGCTTCTCCGGGAAATCCGAAAGAAAAGAAGATCCCAGATGAACAGTATTGAGCATGACAAAGATCAAAGTTATAAATTTAAAGAGCATTTTGATTCAGATTTGAATAGTATAAAGTCTCGTGGGGATTCCAAACAAAATAATTTTGAACAGGGACTTACTGAAAAGACTGGTGATATTTCTTCAAAATATGATGGTGCCTCCCCAACATATTCCAGGTTAGATGACAAGCTTCCTTATAAATATTCTAATATCCATCAGAATATGATGCAAGATGAAGAGTCCAAAACCACTAAGAAAATTGAAAGGGTAATAGAGGCATTCTTAAGATATGAAAATTTATTAGAAAAGAAGCCCAGGAGACCAAGGTATTCATTCCTAATAGTTATGGGATTAGCTTTAATATCACTATTTCTGTACTTTTCCTATACGCCAGTGCCATATTGAGTTATTAATAAACACACTTATTGTATTTAATGCTTGATTCTCAGTTTTCTAATCACACTAAATAAATAATGGGCCTGTCTGATAGTTAAACCATATGTG